ACACACACACACACACACACACACACACACACACACACACACACATACACGCACACACACACACACACACACACACACACACTGTATTATCCCAGAAACCCCATGATGAAACATGATGAAACAAAGATGGCCGACAGAGTGAAACCACCGTGTTGCTAACCGTCCTCTGAGGTCTCTAACGTGAGAACCGTGAGAGTCAACCATTTCACAATAAAAGCCTAGAAAAGAAATCAACAAGGGATTCTGTCCACTGAAACGTGCAGGGCTTTTAATTTGAAATTATTTTTTATTGACAGCGTAATAAAAGCCTGCTTCAAATAAAGGCCTGAATGAAGCCTAGCTTAGCACAAAGACTGGAAGCAGGGGGAAACTGTTAGCCTAGCTTCATTGTCAGAATTCAGAATCAGCCGTCAAAACTAAGAAGCTACGGTATCGTGCTAAAAAGGTAATGTGATAAAGGTTTAGATATAGATATAGAAGGTAGATATATTGAACATATTCTTTTTTTTAATTTTACTCAAGTGTGAGATGTCCTCAAAGGGCCACCATACAGACGACCGCCCTCCTCTCAGGACAAACTTTATACTTTATACTGAAGTTTATTTGGTTTTCTGTATTGAACATCACAGCCTCATGGTGGCGCTGCTGTAGCGTCTTTAACGATTCATCTCCATATTAATATACGTAATAACCTCATTTACTTATAATGATGTCAGCAGAACTTCAGTTTCATGTGAGCTGCTCCTCAATGATTAAATACTGAAACTCTACTCAACTCGATGTAAACACTGAGGACGGAGGAAACGACACCTGCTGGGTTTTTATTATCATAAGAGAGGAGGAGGAAAGGAAAGGAAAGAGGAGACAGAGGAGGTTTTGGATGGTCGGAGAGAAAGATTAAGGAAGGAACATGTTAGGAAAGGAAATAAGAAGAAATGATGCAGTGAGACACAATGAAGGAAATGAGACCGTACAAAAGGAAAGAAGGAGTTAGGAAGGTACAATAAGGACATTTAAAAGGAAGTGACAGTGTGTAGAACGAAAATAAGGTAAAAAGGATAGAAGGTTGTATAGATGGAAATAAGGAGATATGAAAGGAAACAAGATTGTAGACTGAAGTAATGATGTATGGAAGGAAAGAAGGAGTTATGGAAGTTAATAAGGATCTATAGAAGGTGAGAAGGAGGTATGGAAGGTAATGAAGACATATAGAAGGAGAGAAGGAGATAAGGAGGTATGGAAGGAGAGGAGAAGAGGAGGGAAACAGATTCGAAAAAGAAAATGTGAATGATTGAAAAGGAGGGTTGTGTAAGCGTTTCCACACACACACACACACACACACACACACACACATACACACACACACTCACTCACACACACACACAGATCACTGAGGTGAGGACGACAGAGAGAGCAGCTACTTTAAATTCTTCTCTGTTTCTTCTTTGTGTCACGTTATCCATCTCAGTCTGATATCCACCATAGAAGAAGAAAACGTTTATCATCATGAGCAAATATTTTGCATCGATATTTATGTTTTTTGGGAGAAAATATGTGGAGCAAACGTTTGAACCCTTCACACATTTACATAATATTTTATGAATAATTATCGCATTAATCAGTGAGCTCAATATTTGGGGGCGGAGTCAGGGTAGCTGTTTCCAGTCTTTATGCTAAGCTAAGCTAATAGCCTCCAGTATGAGAGTCTTCTCATCCAACTCTGTGCAAGAAGGCAAATAAATATTTACCCAGAAATTCAAACTAATCCACAAAAACCAGATCCAAAATGAAACCAAAGGAACCAAACATCATGAGGAGAACAAGGCTTTTAATTTGATCCATCAAACAGAATCACTGGATCATCCGTTAAAGTGACAGCACATATAAGTTACTCTTTAAACCGTTAAAAAGAACAATGGTGTCTTCACAGACGCCTGCAGCCAATCAGAAAGAAGCTTCTGAGTTACTAAACTCTAAAACAACTTCTTGAGAATAAAAAGTTACTCATTACCGTGTTTCTTTTGATCACTGTCAGTCGACTCACTCCAGACACAGAACAACACAGACTATCTCACACTGACAACTAACTACAG